CCCCCCCCCCCCCCCACCAGCTCCAAAATGTTGCAGACGTCTCACCTATGCCAAGCACACAGACCTGAATATCTTTACCCCTATCCAAACTTTGGACAACTTAAACTCAGCTGTGCCCAAAGCTAACATGGAAAGAGTCCTTTCCCATACAGGCCAATGTTTTTGTATAAAGACTAAATCTCTAAGTGGAGAACACTGCAACAGGGAGGTTTATTTTCTCTCAGTATAGATGAACACCCTTTTGGACTCGGTGTATTCTGGTTCAGGATCACAGAAAGGCTCATTTGCTACTGCACAGTATTGATTTATCCTGGGGCCAAGATATTGTTGCACAAGTTAAGTATTTATTGTCATGTTGCTTTCAAATATATAAATCAAGGGAGATGCCAAGTCAACTTATCTCATTTCACCAAACTGTCCTTCCTTTCCTTTCAATACCCATATTTAATTCACAGCAGTGACATATACTACAGACAATTAATGCTGTCATTTTATGGTGTGAATGACAAACTGTCAAGAAGAATTCTGACCTCTTGTTTACCAGTAGTGGCTCTAGTACTGGGCCCACCCTCCTTTCTGCAAGTAGTGTACAGAGCGATTAATTAGTTCTGAAGGATAAACTTACAGCATAATGCCTTTTGCAGTCTTCGGATTTTGATAGCTGTACGGTATGCAGAAAAGCGTACATTGTTCAAGTCAGCTAGAATACACAGAAAAATGTTAGCTGTTTTTAAAGAAGGATCAATAGCAAGGAAAATAAAGCCAGTCTGTAAGACTATTTTGACATATAATATTCAAACAAAAGCTTGGTCTTAATTTCACATTAAAAATAAGGGTTAGCAGAAGAGGAGAAAATAGAACACTGAAGCCCAAGGCATGAAGTTAGGACCTAGTTTAAATTATCTGGTAGTCAACTGAGACTCCTTTTGATGTCACTGGGACAGGCACACCAGAAATTCAGGCATCATTACACTGACATACATGCACTATGGTGTTTTCCAGAGAAGCATGAGTCCTAGAGCTATCTCACAGTATAATCAAAGAAAGTACAGATGAAGGATGGGTGATGGATGCAACCAAGATCATAGTAATGCAGTGCTGAAGTTTAACCTGAGTCTTCTAAAGCCAACACTTCCATAATGTCATGTTATCTGATATTATTTCCATAATGTCAATCACTTGTTAACACCTCAAAGATGGGAACATCAGTATATAAACAAGTAGAGGGGGAACCCGGTATCAATTTTCAATTTTACAAACTGTTAAGGATAATAGTATCTCTTCTTTGTTAATAGTATTTTATCCTTGCATGCCTGAGGGGACATTCTGCATCAAATGCAGATGCTTATACAGGTATACTGTCAATTCAGCACTTTCCTAATACATGAAACAGGCTTTCATTACTAGTTATCAGGCTCTGAGACAATGAAAACGCAGGGTTTTGTGTCCCTGATTACAACAGAACTAAAATAAAATAACATACTACATAAAAGGGTAACATTAATTCTATTCAATTAAGCCTATTTGTTGAAAAACAACATAGACAGACAAAGACAACATGTTTCTTGGCACTAAATATTCAACCACATAGGAGGGAATGCTTAGGTCAGTGGGGGCCAAACTTTTTGACGCACACATCACAAATCAGTGCAATACCCTGCACTCTCCTAAGTGCCACTCCTATCCCCTTCTGCTATCTCATTTGCTGCTCTGCCACCTGCTCTGTCCTGTTCTCCATGATCAATCTGCTATTCTGCTTTCTGTACCATCTCTCACTATGCTGCCTGTCCCCTCCCTTGATCCACTACATGCCACACACAGAGGGTGCTTATGGCACACATGTTGCAGGCTGGCCATCCCTGGATTAGATAAACAAGTACCTGACAAACTCAGGCACTTTCATTCAACAGAAATTGGGCATTTTATTCATCCTATTAAGACAAACTCCATAAAATCCTTCATGTCAAGAAGAGCACTCACCTAGGGACTGGAACAGTTCAGTCATTTTAGGATGATCCCAACAAGTCGTCTGTGTCTGGTGACTATAAGAAAGAGAGACAAGCAGAGCTTCAGATAGGAAAGAAACCGTTCCAATGCACACACATATACAAATATGACTATATGCAGGAGTGAGAATGAAACCCTGCTAGCTCATATCAACATACAAAGTCTGAGTTATCTAATTCCTTGACGTTTCTGATCACAAGATAACCAACATGACCTCCCTTCCTTTATTTAGCTTCCTGTTTCTGAGCCCTTTTAACTCCTGCTTTTGTCAGTTTTCTCTTACCATATTGGCTGCACTCAGATTCTGAACCTCAGTGAAAGACAGATAGGGTAAAGTTGCAAAATTCCCTACTAATGGCAACAAATTTGTAAAATTTGAAAGATTTTTATTTTAGGTTTAACTATGTATTTAAAATTAGTAAATATCAGGATACGTGACATGGTTTTTCTCTGATTTTATGACTTTTCTGTAACATTTAATGAAGTGCTAAATCACCTTTCAAATTCTTAAACCTGTAAGTATTTACTATCATAGGACAAATGACTCTGTGCATTTTTGCTCTCAACAGAAGATGATATAATAAGTACAGCTATTTAATCCACCATTTAACATCTCTGGTTTAATCCATCAAGATTTCATGTATGCAGCCATGTGGTTAAAATGCAGCTTACCTGCTGCCCGCTAAAATCTCATTTTTTTTCTCTTGTATTAGTCATATTTCTCTATATTAACTATGAACTTTAAGCATGTTGAAATTATTATATATTCTTGACAAGCAAAATTTTGTACAATTTGAATTAGATTAATTAAAAATAATTATACTAGAGATTAAAACTGAAAATTTCACATCTCTACCAAGAATTAACAGAGTAATACTGAAAATGAAATGATCCTAGATTACCAAATACATACTGAAGCACAAAAACCATGTTCTTTCTTATAATCTTTGTTTTTATTTAAATTTGAAAGTTCACAAATGCAAATAAGAATAAATAAAATGGTCACTATAAAATATACAAAATAACTATTATGAATAGTGTGTATTTATTTTTGGAACAAAAATCTGTTTTTAAGGTGCTTTGCTTGTTGTACTTTGATGACACAAGTTATTTTTTATTGTCATAGAACCATAGAAAATTAGGGCTAAAAGAAACCTCAGGAGGTCATGTAGTCCAACCCCCTGCTCAAACTAGAGCCATCCCAACTAAATCATCCCAGCCAGAGCTTTGTTTAGCTGGGTTTTCAAAGCTTCTAAGGATGGAGATTCCACAACCTCCCTGGGTAACCTGTTCAGTGCTTTACTACCCTCCTAGGGAGAAAGTCTGTCCTAGTATCTAACCTAAATTTACAAGCAAGCTACAACCGTTTCTAAGACCATTGTTCCTTATTCTGTTATCTGCTACCAATGAGCACAGTCAAACTCCATCCCCTTTAGAACCACCCTTCAGACAGTTGGAGGCCAAAATTCAATCCCCCCTCAATCTTCTCCTCTCCAGACTAAATAAGTCCAGTTCCCTCAGCATCTCCTCATAAGTCATATGCCCTAGCCCCCTAACTATTTTCATTGCCCTCCACTGGACTCTCTCCAATTTGTCTATATCCTTTCTGTAGTGGGGGGTCCAAAACTGGACACAGCACTTCAGATGTGGTCTCACCAGTGCCAAATAGAGGGGAATAATCACTTCCCTTGATCTGCTGGCAACTCTCCTACTAATGTAGCCTAGTGTGCTGTTAGCCGTCTTCCCAACAGGGACACAGCATTGGCTTACATTAATCTTATTGTCCACTGTAACACCCAGGTCCTTTTCTGAATTGCTGCTTAGCCAGTTAGTCCCCAGCTTGCATGGGTTCACGGGATTGTTCATTCATAACTGCAAGACTTTGTACTGGTCCTTATTAAACTTCATGAGATTTCTTTTGGTCCAATCCTCCAATTTCTCTAGGTCACTCTGAATCCTAGCCCTACCCTCCAGTGTATCTACTACTCCCCCCATCACTTCCTGAAAGTGCACTCCATCCCATCTTCCAGGTCATTGACAAAGATATTGAATAAAACTGGCCCTAGGACCAAGCCCTGGGACACTCCACTTAATACCAGCTGCCAACTAGACACCAAGCCATGGATTTCTACTCTTTGAGCCTGATGATCCACCCAATTTTCTATGTACCTCACAGTCCATTCATCCCATTTTAAAAAGTCACATAATACAGTTCCCATGATGTACTTTGGCTGTGTACACATGTGAAAATTATCTGGGAGAATTCTCCTGGGTTTGTTTTCCTGGTAGAAAAACTAACCTGGAGATGCCTAAACAGATATCTGAATATTTAGACCCTGAAAAACAAAGAGCTTGCAATGCTGACAATGTGCAGCCAGGAGGCCTCTGTACATACATTTCAGCCTGCTCTACTGGCTCCTTCAGTCTGGAGACAGATGGCAGCAGTGAACAGGGCATCCCTGACAGGCTGACCTAGACTGCTCAGGGTCAGTTTGTGTCTCCATGCAGCACAGTACAGGTTTATGAAGGGTGTTGTGTTTTGCTCGCTGGTCGGGGGGAGCATAACAATCTAGTAAGTGACAAACTGCCTCCTGGGAGTGATTTAACCCTAGTTGTTCCCAGGTTATTTTTCTTCTGGAGCTGCCATTTTTGCTTTGGGAGAAATATCCTGAATATCCCTACAATTATGGTTTCCACCAGGAAGACAGTGACTCACCCAGAAAAAAGTGAATGTCTGTACATTGCCTTTGTAGGTCTGAAATTTGGATTATAAATTTCACCAAGAATAACTTTTTTGGGAAATTTCTGACATGTAAAACTATTTCTTTAGAGCGTATTGAAACATTTCAAAACGAAAAGCCAAAAAAAGTTAATACAGCTTTGACTGACACAGCTTTATGAATGGAAGAGGGTGGTTATTTCTCTTGTATAGTTATTTTTTGCTTATAACTGAGTTTTTTGTCAACACATTTGAAACAGCGTGTTCTCGATTCCAACAATTGACTGCATTTCCACAGTTACAATGGTTCACTGATACTGATCATGTTTATTGCCATGAATCCCACATTTTTTGTGGGAGGCTGAGGAGGGAGGCTTGCTTATGATGGGAAAAACGAAATAGGAAGTGATGGGAGGGTAGCAAAGCAAGACAGGGAAGAAAAGGGTAAAATGGGCAAGTGTGGCATGAAAATGAGATGAAGATGGAGGGAGAGAATAAGGGCAGGGGAGCACACAGCAGAGAAAACCCTGCTCAAAATTGTAGAGAGGTCTCTCAGTGGACCAAGGTCTGTATTTTGGCTGTTTTTGCAGCTATTCCTTTTAGCTAGACTCTCTGGCTGGCTCTTCTCTGCAGTTTCTTCCTAAGGCCACATAATTTGGGGTTGGAGGTGGGAGAGGGAAATGCACACTACTGTCCTAATACCTTTAGAGTGGAGGTGGGGAGGCTCTCCCCTTCTCAGTTCTGGGTCTGATGTGGTTAGATCAGCAGAGATGGTCCTGGCTGAACCCCATATTACCTTCTACCCACCAAAAGAGCACTTGCAACTTCTGCTCCATTTGTTCCTATTTGCTGGAGTCTCATTACTATTAATGAGGAAGGAAAAAAGAAAAGCACCAACTTCAACATTGCTATTTCTCACTAAAAAACTGTGTCTGATAATAATACTTTCACAATATATTGAGCCTTTTTATGTGCACACAAATTGAATTTCACAGAAAGAATAAACGCATGTGCAAGTAAGCTTAACATGCAACAAATAAGAATGTCAGTCAAAGGAATCATTCTATGGGTCCAAAATAGGAGGCAAGAAAGAAAAACTGCTTCCTGTTGATTTGCTTTATAATACAGCTTTATGAAATGAGATCCATCTTTTCTGGGTAGAGTTACAATATTCAAACATTTCAAAACTGAAGGCCAAAAATATCTTGTGTAACTTTGACTGACAAAGCTTTGAGTGGAAGAGGGTGGTTATTTTTCCCCATATGCAGTTGTTTTTTGCTCATAACTGAGTTTTTTGTCAACAGATTTGAAAAAACACATTCTCAGTTGACTGCACTTCCACAGAATGACAATGGTTCATTATTAATGATCATGTTTATTGCCACGGACCCTTAAGGACAACCAAGAATGAGGGCTGCTTTTATGCTAGATGCTATGCTAACACAGAACAGCTGATCCTTTGCCCAAGAACATTTATAGCACAAGCAAAACACTGAGTGATGGAAGAACACAAGTGGAGTGGGAAAACCTCATTCTAGTTCCACAGCATTTGTTGTGGAAGGCTGAAGTGGCAGGCTTGCTCATGATGGGAAAAGGGCAGGGAGGAAAAGGGTAAAATGGGCAAGTGTGGCATGAAGATGAGATGAAGATGGAGGAAGAGGGTGAGGGCCGGGGAGCACAGAGCAGAGAAAACCCTGATCAAAATGATAAAGAGTTCCCTCAGTGGCCAAAGGTCTATATTTTGGCTGTTTCTTCAGCTGCTCCTAGCTATACTCTCCGGCTGGCTCTTCTCTGCATTTTTATCTAAAGGCCATATAGCCGGGGGTAGGAGTTGAAGAGGGAAATGCACACTAGTGTCTGATGTGGTCTTGTACAACTGAGGCATAACTCATATAAATAGATTAACCAATGAAAACTGTGCTTAGGAAGTAACACTGAATAGTCTCCTGCACAAATAACAAGGAAATGCAGGTAAAGGAATACCTTTCTTCTTGACTCCTTTTCTGTGTATTCAAACCATAAATCCCAGTCCTGTCCTGATACACACACTACATTCATTATGGCTGCCCATCTTAGTGCAGTAAGGACCACTGCTTTTCTGGTAAACAAGGAAGGGAAATATGCAGGAAATAGGCTCCTGACAACCAAGAAAACCAGAATGAATCAGAGTAAAATTAAATTTACATTCTCCTTGAACTATTTATTTCCTTAACTATAACAATTCTGTTGAGACCAGAGGATAACTAACAAACAGTCATAGTTTTCTCCACATGGACACCACAGACAAAACTTAGATAATTCGGTGATGTTAGCAAA